AGCCACCCAGGTACCCCTAATATGTTTATTCTTGAGAGAGAGAAAGAGGGAGAGCATGAGAAGGAGAGGGTCAGAGACGGAGAGGGAGACACAGAATCTGAAGTAGGTTCCAGGCTCCAAGCTGTCAGCACAGAGCCCAATGCAGGGCTTGAACTAACGAACCATGAGATCATGACCTGAGCCGAAGTTGGACACTTAACTGTCTGAGGCCACTCAGGTGCCCAAGTCCATGTATTCTTATATAACTCTTCTGTGGTCAGATTCATTCCTTTCTGGAAATCATGAAACTAATTTTACAATATAAAATTATATTAGGAGAACTTCAGTTACTTTTCCTAAAGTTAAATAGGTATTTTTGTTCCAACTGCTGTGGTTTCTAGTTAAAGAAGCATAGATAATTATTTTTGAATATCTACCATTTTGTCATGAACATTTGATTCTTTGGCTGCTGAACATTTGATTTTTTTGGAGCATTCCCTTTACTCTCCCGATAATTTATTGAGTACCTGCTTTATGCCAGTCTCCATGCTAGATGCTGGGGTGCGGTGGTGAGCAAAAGCAGACAAGGGAAGAAGGTTGCTACAAAGGAAGCATACTTGCTCTTTTATTCTCTAATACCTCTCTTTGGTACTCTGTCTCCTTCAAGTATCTTATCTAAGGATATGTACACCATAGAGCATGCAAGAAATACTTCTTAAAAGGTAGGAACTGAAATAGTAATTGATGTCTATAAATTACGTTGAGTTTTAGGTTTTAATTAAACCTGAGAAGAGTGAGAACACAGAAAGAAAAAGAGGAAAGCAGCTGTAATAATGGGATTATGAACATGTACAAGATTTATTTTTAAAGCTATTTTTATAAGTTCTAAATACCTGATGTTTGAAATGCTTGCATCTAAGATAGATATTTCTTAGAAGCTTACAGCTGGAAGATTTAGGGAAGTCATCTCCCCAAAGTTTCTTTCATCACAAGTATCCCTTTGTTAGCATCCATTCATATAGTGCCTGCTCATTTTCAGTGAAATGGAAATCATTCCCTCACTATCTGTTCTGTTTTGGAGACATTAATAATTTGTTTAAGTAATGAACTAAAAGCTAACTTTTCTGTAACTTTCTGTTGACCTTACTTCTACCTTTTTGAGCTATGGAAGTTTAATTGCTTTTCCACATCTCTGTCTTCAAGATATATAGAAACATATTCAATATGTATTTTTTGAACAAACAAGTGCCTGGCCTGTCACAGTTTCTCTTCTGGATACTCTAAAGGGGAAATTGAGTTAAGTTGGTTTTGTAAAAACAAACATAGGCAGTCAGTGTAATGGAGGGACCAGTGATAGCCAGTTCAGAATGGTTTTCACTGTTCTCCTACAGAGCCAAACACAGTGTTGTTGTTGTTGTTTGGTTTTATTTATTTTGAGAGAGAGAGAGCGAGCATGCGCGTGCACACCCATGGGGGGAGAGGTAGAGATAGGGGGAGAGAGAGAGAGAGAAAAAGAGAGAGAGAGAATCCCAAGCAGGCTCAGTGTGGAGCCTGATGTGGGGCTCAAACATGTGATTGTGACTTGAGCCAAATCAGGAGTTGGATGCTTAACCAACTGAGCCACCCAGGTGCCTGGACATAGAGACAAAAGAAATAAACATAATCAAAATTCAGATATATATTGGACTTTAGATAATGTTTTTTGAGGCTTTTTGAGAAAACACACCTTGGTTTTCTAGGTTAACATTTTATATGATGAGATCAGCTTCCCCATTAGACGTATGCCATTGAACCATAGACAGTCTGAAACCCTGGCTAATATTAACACTTTATTTAAGATTAGAACACATTTCCTGAACACTTGTAAGGTTAAATAGTTGGAGGTACTGTATTAACTCTCAAAAAGTTAACCCCCAAATTAAAGTATGCCATGAATAATCCATGATAAGGTTAAGCCCCAAATGGAATACTTAATTGAGTTGGTGCTACAGTTCCAATTTTGGTTCTCAGTTGAGAAATTTAGAAGACTTTTATTTGGTATTCCTTTCTTATATAAATATGGTCTGCTGAGAAAAATTAGTATTTTTTTTATCATGTTCATAAATTTTTTGTGGCAGGAAGTTTGTCTATAGTTCACTTTTATATTCCCATCCTTAAAATAATGAAAGGCTCAGAAAAACTTTTGCTGAATAAGTAAATGATTATGTCATAAATTTATTATGTCTGACATTTTATACTTTTTTAATGTTTTTTCTTCTTATATTAGTGCTGAGTGAAGATCCTATAATCAGCTTGTGTAGACCCCCCCTAAGAAGCCCAAGGTCTGGTAAGACATTATTTTGTCTGTTGGTTTAACTGTTTCATAAATACAGATTTATTTTTAAATAGGTTAGTACATGTATCCATATTGTTCGAAATTTGAAAGTTATTAGAAATATATAGTGAAAAGTCTCCCTGCCCCTCTGTCCTTTACCCACCTGGTCTCCATATTAGAGGGAATCAGTGTTTTCAGTTTCTTAGAGTTTTTTTTTAAGAGTTATTTTATGGAGGTACAAAGAAATTTGTGCATAAATAATGTTTTCCTCCCTTTTATCACAAATGTTAGCCCAATAAACACTCTTTTCTGTACCTTATTATCTGTTTTTTATTTTTACTTAACCTATTGAGACATCTTTCCAAAGAGATAGATATAGGCCTTCCTCATTCTTTTTAAGAGGTTGCTATGATTCTTTTTGTTAGCATGATGATTTTAAACTAGGATCAAGGACTTTTTATTCTTCCCAGCATAATGCTAATAAAAAAATCAAGACTGAGCCTGTATAGTTCAGGGCTATAAATTTCTTCTGCCTCACTTACATTTGGTTTTGATTAAAACCTCTGACAAGTATTGCCCTTCAGTTGATGTCATGACCATGAGAGAAAACCAGTAAAGGCATCCAAGCCGTCTACTTCTGCTTCCTTCTCAGAGTTTGTTAGCTCATAAGGGTGCTTTAGTATGGGAACTAAGGAAGAACCTTATTTATCTTCCCATTAGGTTTCTACTCCTCGATCCTTCTCTTTAAGAAAGAATTAGGATGGGGTTTTTTTGATAGATGAGTGTCGTTTTAAGTTTTCTAACGATAAAGATCTGTTAAGGTTTTGATGATGAACCTGTGGTAAAGACCCACATGATGCATTTCCTTTTGAGTTCTAATCGTTTTCTTGCTATCTCTCTTGCAGATTCGGCATACAAAACAAATGGAAATACTAAAATGAGTGAATTAGGTTTGTTCATCTCTAATTCTTACAGGTTCTTTTTGAGGGTTCTAAGAATCAGAACACAGGCATATACACGGTTGGTCACTGGCTTGAAAATATTCCTTTGCTCATTTTCTCAGATTGTGGGACACTGTCCATATGGCCAAGACCTTTCTTAATTGCCCTGGTTCTTATTCTAGCTGAAATTATGTCTTTTATTACTTAAGTTCAGATAGGAACGTGTAATACAAACATATTTTAATTTTTGTGAGACTTTGTTAAATTCACACTCCTGTGAGAAAAGGGAATATCAGTTTACCAGTTCCATTTTTCTTGAGTTAGAAAGTGAGTTAGACATATTTTTCGTAGTAAGTTCAGTGTCCTTTGCCATGTTTGTTGGACTGGTTTAAGTGCTTTCCAGTGTTTGCCTTGGTGTAGTACGTGAGATACCCAGATCCATGGTGTTAAGTAAACCTATACTGATTGTGGTTGGACTTATTTTTAAGTTACAGTATTTCCCTAAATTTAGAGATGAGTCAAAACAAAGAAAACTTCCCTTTTTTTAAAAAAAAAAGAAATAAATAGTTTGCAACTTCTGTTAAATTCATCTTTCACTTAAGCTTGGGTTGATTTCTTGGAAACATCAGGATTTAGTGTCTAGGTACTGAAAGTGATCCTTACAGTATGTAGTTCATCATGTGAACTTGAACCCACCAGAGTTTCTCAACTGCTGTATTTAAAACCTTAAAAAAGTTTTTTTTAAGTCATAGTTTCTTAATTGGTAAAGAATTTGGAGCTGAAATAATCCAGCACTTTTACTTTTTATGCTAGATTTAGAAATGATTTTTATAAGTACTTTATAATAAGAAGCAACTTTTAAAAAGTACTTTCCAGTTCAAAGAACATTTCTGTGGGATTCATAGAGAATGGCCTCCTCTGGTTCTTTTTTACAGTAATGTTAGTATCTCTTAGACTATCAAAAATGGCCGTTCACAGAGCTTGAATAATAGTGATATCCCCAAACTGTTCTTTATCCTCCTTCCTGCTGCCCCACTCTGCCTCTGTTCTCAAAAGCATGATTGGCATTGAATTATCGGAAAGGTACCACTCTTAAAGGTGTCTATACCTGAGGGTTAGCCTCTAGGTAAAATCTGACCTGCAATCCTGTGTTTGCACAGCCTATGAGCTAAGAAGAGAGACCTGGTGTGGCTAGCAAAGCCTCAGATATATTTATTATTTGATCCTTTATGGAAAAAGTTTACCGCTCTCTGGTTTATACCAGTGGCAGCAAATTGCCCAGTTGGTCATTTTTTTGTTCTAAGTGTAAATTCAGAGAGTTACATACTTGCCTCGACATAGATTGATAGTAGCACTAGAGAAGCTGCCATTCCAGGCCCAAGGCTAAATACCGCCCCCCCACCAACCTCAGCCAGGATGTCCCCAGCTTTGGGCAAGTCTCCTGTGACCCAGCCTATTCTCTCTGTTTTGCCACAGCTCTTATAATATTTTAACTTTAAAATTGAGGGTATTATTACTCCAAGTAAGAGTTTAGTTTCTCAAAGCTTCTGCATAAGCATAGAGAAGAGTACCTTAAAAAAAATAAATGTTATAACCTTTTACACGTAGAAGCCAAGTTTAAAATAAAGGAAAAGGAATGCAAAACAGGGAAATAAAATTAAAACTTTTCATGTGGTACTAAACGCTACTGATTCATCATCAGATTGTATTTAAATATTTATGCATTCTTTGTAGCTTGGGTTAAAAAGATGAAAATGTAGAATGGTTAAAACCTTGCATGAAACCTAATGAGGTTAAGCATTAATTTCATACTATTTTCTTGAGTTGTTTTTTTGTCATGGTATGAGCAATTTTAACAAAAGTCTTAAAAGTTTTTATTCTGTGATACAAAAATCTATTCATTTATTAAACAAACATTTATTTTTAATCACCTTCTATATGTATCGGTGACTGGCCTAAATGCTGGAACCTTAAAGAGCCATGATAATTTTCCCCCTAGCTCTTAGAGTACAGGATCTAGTGGAAAAGAAAAGAAGTTAGAGAAATTATTGTAATGTTATTAAGTGTTAAAATGGTGGTATATGTATTTGACAGACTAGAAGAGAAATGCCTTATTCTGAATGAGAGGTTGGGAGGGTTTCATGGAGGAAATGGCATTTGGGAGGACTTGAAATTCTTGACCTTCCTTTACCAGAATGAAAAGTGTAGGTATAGCCAAGATAACAAGTAGAGTGATAACGATGATTGTTGTTCAAATGTATAGGATTTATTATTATTTGGAATATCTAATTCATAAGATCTTATTGGATTATGCATAAGGCACAATGATATTAGTAATATTGAAGACAACCTTGCTTAACAAGTTATTGTTCATGCCTTGAGTACTGTTGATATTGTCAGCAACATAAAATTCTTCAAAAAAAATTTTTAAGTTTATTTCTTTATTTTGAGAGAGACAGAGACAGCATGAGTGGGTAAGGGGCAGAGAGAAAGAATCCCAAGCAGGCTCTCTGCAACTAGCACAGAGCCTGATGCGGGGTTCAAACTCACAAAACCACGAGATCATGACCTGAGCTGAAACCAAGAGTCAGACACTTAACCAGCTGAGCTACATAGGTGCCCCAGAAACATAAAAGCCTAAATAAAGGACCTTTAGACACTAGATTAAAAGTGTTCAAAAATCCATGATATATTAAACACTTCGGATATAATGATATAAAAAATAAATGGGGAGCTCCTTTATATAAGTTGATTAGAAAAAATTCTTAAATTTTCCCCATCCTAATTAGACAACACATACATAAATAGAATAAAGGATATTTAATTTTAGCTACCCTTTATATGAGTGATTAATTATTAGGTGATTTGGCTCTGAACAAGTTGACTTGGAGTTTAAAAAGTACATGGAAATAAATTAGATCAGGATCAAAAAGGGAGGGATAACTGCACTATTCATTTTCTTTCTGGTGACCCAGTGAAGAAATATACAGATTCTAAAATCAATTTAGCCTTAAATTTTGCTATACCAAATAATTTTTAAACTATATAAAATGTAATGTTTAAATATAAATGAAACTTTAGCAAAGTTACTGTTAGGTTTTTTTTTTTTTTTTTACGTTTATTATTTTGTGAGAAAGAGAACGTGTTTGTGCTCAAGTGAGGGAGGGGCAGAGAGGAGAAGAGAGAGACTCCCAGATGGGCTCAAACTTCCAGACTGCGAGATCATGACCTGAGCCGAAATTGTAGGCACAGGACTGAGCCACCCAGGCTCCCTGCAAAGCTCTGTTTTGAATGAGTTACACTTGGAAGTTATTGGAACCTCTCATATTAGAAGAGTTCAGCCCTCAGCCTTATCTTTGTCATTAATTCAAAAAATTATTGAGAGAGACTTCTGGTTTCCCTCCCGTTCCACGTATAAGAAGCCAGCCTAACAAATAAATACAACTAAAAACTCAAAAGTTCTTTTTGGATCTTTGAGAAAGGAGAGAAAGCAGGGCAAACCCCTGCCCTCAAGATTGGAGAGATAGGTAATACAGGAAATCATGGTGTACCAAGAGCAAAGGCTCAAAAGTGCAGACCTCTGCAGGAGCCAGTTCTGGGGTAGCAAAACCTGAACTGTAACTGATGAATTTCAGGAGTCTCGGTGTGCAGAAATCTGAGTTACGTATTCCAAGGGGACCCAGTCATAGGGGGTCCTCCACTATTTTTTGAGATTGACCTCCAGGGGCTTGACCAAATGCCCACAGTAAATATCAGAGAAAAGTCCCCTCATACTTCAGTGGTGGGGGGTGGAGAGAGGGGAGTCATGTTGAAATATGCCAGAGCACTCTGTTCTTAATAAAGCCTGCACTCAGGGCAATTTAGTTACCCAGAGCCTGACCGACCGGGGTATTATCAGAACCCAACTGACCTGGGGGAAGGAAATACTGTATTCCAGGCCACTGTAGACAACCTGTCCCACCTAAGGAGAAAAGAAAAACATTGAGAACCATATGTAGCATAAATTCTCTAAGAGACTAAGACCTAATTTTAGGACTGTGGAGCCCTTTCCCTCCTTCTGGACCTCATCATCACATTACTAAAGGCCTCTTTCGAGCAGTTCCTCTTACCCAGTACATCATGTCCACCATCAAGACAAAATCTTGACATTAAGATTTGGTATCAAGACATAATGAAAGGCCAAATAACACAATCTGAAGAGACAGAGCCACTGTCAGAACCAGATATGGCAGGGGTGTTGGAAATATCAGACCAGAAATTTAAAACAGCTATTGATTAATATGTTAGGGATTCTAATGGATAAAATAGACCGCATGCACAAACAGATGGACAGTGTTGTAAGCAGAGATGGAAATCCTAGGAATCAAAAAGAAATGCGAGGGATTAAAAATTGCTATAATAGAAATAAAGAATGCCTTTGATGGACTGGACATGGCTGAGGAAAAAATATCTGTGTCAGAGGGGCAGATTGATAGAATCCTCAAATAAGTGATCACATGATAGAGGTGTTAACCAATGCTATGATGGTAATAGTGCAATATATAAATGTATCAAGTCAACATGTACACATACTTACACAATATTACTTGTCAATTCTTGAAATACAATTTTCAACCAAAAAGCAGAGGAAACAACGACTGAACAAAACAGAACATCAAAGGACTATACAACTAAAAAACATGTAGCCTACACATAATGGGAGTGCCACAAGGAGGAGAAAAAAGGAACAGAAGAAATACTTGAAACAGTAATCTGGAATTTCCCCAAATTAACGTCAGGCACCAAACCACAGATTCAGGAAGCTCTGAGAACATCAAGCAGAACAAATGCCCAAAAAATACACCTGGGTGTTTTATTTTTTTCGAACTACAGAAAATCAAAGATAAAGACAACCTGAAAGAAGCTAGAGGAAGACACCTGACTAGTAAAGAAACAAAGATAAGAATTACATCCAATTTCTTTTCAGAAACCATGCATGTGAGAAGAGAGTGGGATGAATGATTTTAAGTGTGAGAGGAAAAAACCACCAACCTAGAATTCTGTATCTTACAAAATTATCCTTCAAAGGTAAAGACTTTACCCAGGGTAACTAAGGAAAAAAGAAAAGAGATAAACTGAGAAAAAAGGACACAAATTAGTATAGATTTCATGAAAATTAAAAGGATAATCTAGAAAGAACTGTGAACACATTGAAACCCACAAATTTGATAATCTGGGTGAAATGAACCCATTCCTTTGAAGACACAATCTGCTAAAACACACAAGAAATATATAATCTGAAAAGGTTTATATCTATTTAAATACATTGACTCAATATTTAATAAATTTCCAAAACAAAGCACCAGGCCTAAATGAGTTCACTGATGAATTATATCGACTATTTAAGGAAACAAGTTATACCAGTTTTTTAAGATATTTTTCAGAAGTTAAAAGTAGAAGAAATACTTTCTAACTCATTGTAAGGCCAGCATTCCCCTAATACTAAAACTAGACAAACACAAGAAAAGAAAACTGCAGATCAATATCTTAAAAACAGATGCAATAGTCTTCCACAAAATATTAGCAAAATGAATTTTTTAAAAATTACAAAAAGAATTAGGGGTACCTGGCTTGCTCATTGGTAGAGCATACAACTCTTAATTTGGGGGTTGTGAGTTCAAGCTCCACATTGGGTGTAGAGATTACTTAAAAACTAAAAAACAAAAAAACGCCACTACAACCAAATAGGATTTGTCCCAGGTATGCAAGACTGGCTCAACATTTGAAAATCTATCATATTAACAGACTAAGAAAGAAAAATCACATGATCATATTAATAGATGCAGAAAAAGTGTTTGACAGAATCCAGCACCCATTCATGATAAAAACTCTCAGTAAACTGGCAAGAGAGGGAATTTTTCCCAACTTGATAAAACACTATTTACAAAAAAAATCTTACAGTTAACGTAACGGTGAGACATTGGAGGCTTTTATGTTAATATCAGTGCTAAAAAGGAATAAGCAATCAAGATACAAAGGAACCTAAATGCATACTTAGGCATAGATGTTCCTGCTCACCACTTCTTTTCAACATTGTACTAGAGGTTTTAGCTAACGCAATAAGACAAAAGGAAACAAAAGGTATACAGGCTGGGAAGGAAGACAAGTCTTGGTTCACAGTTAACATGATCATCTATGTAGAAAATCCAAAAGAAAGACAAAAAATAGGAACTAATAAGCAATTATAGCAAGGTTGCAGGATGCAAAGTTAATATAAAAAGCCAATCATGGTCCTATATACCAGCAATGAACAAGAGAAATTTGAAATTAAAAACAATACAATTTACATTAGCACCCCCCCCCCCATGAAATACAGGTGTAAATCTAAGAACAAGATCTGTTCAAGAAAAATTACAAAACTCATAAATGTAATCAAAGAATTTACTTAAATGAAGAGATATTCCACATTCACGGATAGGAAGACTCAGTATTCTCAAGAAATCAGTTCTTTTCACCTTAGTCTATAAATTAAGTGCATTCCTGATCAAAATCCCAACAACTTATTTTGAGAAAATGATTAAGTTCATATAGAGTCAAAAGATCCAGCAGAGCTAACACAGTGTTAAAGAAGAAAGTAGGAGGACTCAACCTCAAGACTGACTATGAAGCTTCAGTAATCTAGACAGTGTGGTATTGGTAAAAAGAATAGACAAATAGATGTATAGAACAGACTAGAGAACGCATAAAGAGATCCACTTGTAGTCAACTGATCTTTAACAAGGTCAATACAATGGAGGCAGAATCTTTTCAACAAATGGCTAGAACTGGATATCTACATGCAAAAAAAAAAAAAAAATCTGGACACAGACCTTAAACGCTTTGCAAAAGTTAACTCAAAATGTGTCATAGACCTAAATGTAAGTTTAAAAAAACCTAGAGGGCTGCCTGGGTGGCTCAGTCGTTTGAGCGTCCGACTTTGGCTCAGGTCATGACCTCATGGTTCGTGGTTCGTGGGTTCAAGCCCTGAACTGGGCTCTGTGCTGACAGCTCAGCCTGGAGCCTGTCTTCGGATTCTTTCTCTTGACTCCCCCCTTCCCCCTCATCCTCCCACCCCGCTCACACTGTCTCTCTCAAAAATAAAACATTTTAAAAAATGAAAAAACCTAGAAAACTCCCAGAAGGTAACAGGAGAAAACCTAGAGGACTTTGGGTATGGTGATGCTTCTTTTTTTTTTTTTTAATTTTTTTTAATGTTTTATTTATTTCTAGGAGAGAGAGAGAGAGCGTGAGCAGGGGAGGGTCAGAGAGAGAGGGAATCACAGACTCTGAAACAGGCTCCAGGCTCTGAGCTCGCAGTCAGCACAGAGCCCGACGCGGGGCTCGAACCCATGAACTGCGAGATCATGACCTCAGAGAAAGTCGGACGCTTAACCGACTCAGCCACCCAGGCGCCCCTATGCTTCTTTTTTTTTTTTCTTTTTAGTTTTTAGCTCTTTTGGTTTCAGTTAACATTTGTCAGAGAGGATGAAACAAAAAAATTAAAAATTTATCTTCTTTACATATAAACAAAAAGCACAACCTGTGAAAGAATTGATAAACTGAACTTCATTGAAGTTGTAAACTTCTGCTATGCAAAAGACAATGACAAGAACATAAGCCACTGAGAGCAAATACTTGCATATGACACATCTAATAAAGGGCAATTATCCAAAGTATACAAAGAACTCTTAGAACTCAACAATGAAAAAACAACCTGATTTAAAAATGAGCCAAAGACCTAACAGGTATCTCAACAGCAGATATACAGATGGCAAATGAGCATCTGAAAAGATGTCCTAAGTTATATGTCATCATGACATTTTATGTCATTTTTACTGTATGATCCAGCAATTACACTCTTTGATATTTACTCAAAGGAGTTGAAAACTTAATATTTATACAAAAGCCTGCACATATATGTTTATAGCAGCTTTATTCATAATTGCCAAAACTTAGAAGCAACCAACATGTCTTTCAGTAGGTGAATGGATAAACTGGCACATCCAGACAATGGAGTGTTACTCAGTGCTATAAATGAAATGAGCTATCAAGCCATAAAAAGAAGGGGCAGGACCTATATGACTGTTCTGGAAAGGCAAAACTATTGAGACAGTAAAAAGATTAGTGGTTGTCAAAGGTGTGGTGGTGGTGGTGATAGGGGATGGATGAATGGGTGGAGCACAGAGGACTTTTAGGGCATGAAAATACTCTGTATGATACCATAATGATGAATACATGTCATTATATGTTTGTCTAAACCCATAGAATGTGCAACACCAAGAGTGAACTGTAATGTAAATTAGGGTCTTGGAGTGAACATGATGTGTAAATGTAGATCCATCAATTGTACCACTGTTCAACAAATACACCGCTCTGGTGGGGGATATTGATAATGGGGGAAGCTGTGCCTGTGTGGGGCAGGGAAGATAAAGGAAATCTATCTTCCTTCCCTTCAGTCTTGCTGTGAATCTTAAACTGCTCTTTAAAAGAAAATTAATAAAAAAATTAATCATTGAGTGCTGACTATATGCCATTATAAACAATACTGATGCAGTGGTAGATGGGTGGTACACTTGAAATCAGAAGGGCCTGTGTTCAATTCATTTTTTGTCACTTGTTAATCCTGACACTCTTAGACAAGTCACTTAATATCATGAACCTTACCTATAAAAGTTATTGTCTCATGACATTAGGGAATCAGATAGTAGATGAGAAGGGTTTTTTTGAAAACTAACAGCATGCAAATATCAACGAAGTAACTATTATTAAGATAATGACTTAAGACATAACTATTGACTCGTAAGAAAACATCTTTTGCTCACATGCTATATAAATAGTTACATAAATGAAAATAAACTGCTGTACAAAAGGGCTAATATGCGTGTTGGGGAACGGTATCTCTTTGTATGAATGGAAATAGTAATGAAAAAATTTTAAGAGAAT